ATCACTAGCATAACAGCAGACCAAACACATGTGGCAAACCGACAGATTACAGTTAAAACACAGGCCAGGAGCCATTAACATCAGACTGGTTATGTGCTGTTGAGATTCAGACTGTATTCACACTGTATTTAAAATATTAGTGAGTTGTTCTGTAAAGACATACCCTCATCAAGAATAAGATAAAAAATGCCCATTGGGTATTCAGCCACTGGGTTTTAAAATATTAGAAATATAAAAATATTAGAAAAATAAAGCGGGACACTGTGTTCTCAATCCTTGACAGCTATCTGTGAATGAGTGGTGAGTTAAAATAAAAATGGAAATGAAATGCTGCTGTAACACCAGGGCTGTCCTTCTTCTGCGACCCCCCCCCAAACCCACCTCACTTCCCGTATCCTGTTTTTCCGCCTTGCGGCCCTGACGTTCCCAGGTGCCTTGCGGAAGATGACGGATGGAGGCCGGCGCAGCGGGGCGTGACCCCCAGGCTTCCCCGTGCCTCGTCATCAATCCCACCACGGTGGGGTCAGTTGGCCCCTTGTCTGTTCATTACTCGCTAAGTAGCCTCGTCTGCTCCATTAGCTAGCGGCGAACGTGAGCCGGCCGCGGCTTTAAATCCCCCCCACTCCGCCCCCCCACCTTGACCCTGCTTGTCCGTCGCAAATTGCCAAATAAATGAACCTCTTTACCAAAGATGAATAAGGAATAATGGTCTTAAAGAGACCCATTTATTTAAATCCCAGCAGACACCATGGAATCCTTAATCCCCTCTCTGGCTAATAGAACTACTGTAGGTAGAGGTACATTCTGGGGTATGCTGAGAGCAGACCTTGCCCCGACCGTATGCACCATGTCCTGCCCCTCAGAGGGAACAGAGGTGTAATGACTGTTATTTTTGCAGTCTAGGGAATGTGCAGCAAGGTCTTGATGCAACAAAAGATGTTCAGCTATGTCTGTAAAGGATGGGGCTGCTACGATATTGTTGTCTGGCCCACCCGATACTGAAATCTCAGCCTCATTCCGCAGCCCCACAAAGGAAATGACTTGTGACTAAATGAGTGAAACATTAACTGGGGCTCATATGAATAAAACAGCAGGCAGCCCCTCCCATCCCCCATGCAGGTCAGGACGCAACCATAAGCCCTGCCCCCTTCAGGACTCGCTTACTCAGATGGTCCTGTATCTGCCCGTGAGCTTCCCCTTGTCTTTGTCTTTCTGCTGTCTTTCTTCCTCTGTTTAATTTCACCCTTGGGTTCGCTTCAGCGGAGCCTTCTGCGCCATTCTGAAACACTCCTCTCGCTTGTCAGCTCTCGCGGGTTTCCATTGACTCCGATCAAATGATGGAGTGCTGATTAACGGGCACGTAAGCCTGGCCGTTGGAAGGGGGGGACATGGCCCCTGGAAGGGCCTAACCCACTCCACAAGAGGGCCAGCAGAAGGTGTTGCAGTTAAAGACCTGGAATTTTAACCTTAGCTTGTGTTGCAGAATGATCCCCACTGTTCCTCCATATACACTTTTTTTATCTGAAAAAATAATGTGTGATATTTTAACTTAAAAGTATTGGGAAAAACGATAATATTGAGTTGTCCCAACACACCCCCCCCCCCACACACACACAGACATACAGGTGCAGTTATTTTTTTTTTTGGCAAAAGAAAAGTATGAAATAATGAGAAAAAACGATGTACGGATAATCTGCTAAATACCCGGCATTAAATATTGCCGACTGGGGATGGGGGGGGAACAATCGATGGGCAGGCCAGATTTAATTATGATTTAAAAACATGTCGTGGACCATTTGAAACCATCTAAAAAAGTGGTTCACAAACTTATGGTAAACCCTAGCCGCATACCACCATTATAACTGATGTTTACAAAACACTGATGCGTATCATAAAAGGAGAGAAAAAAATAATATCAATGTGTTTTTTTTTTTTTTTTAAACGTCAGAAATGTAGGTCAGAAGGCTGAACTGAAAGCCGAATCATACATTTTTATCTTGCTTACAGCAATAATCGCCGCTTAGTCAATTACCGATAATATCGTCATATCGCCCAGCTCTAATTAGCTATACAAACCAAGATTGGACACTGTCTTTGTAACTTTGTGTCACATATTGGACAGAGATAAAAATAACTAGGTTTTTTTGTGAAATGCAGTTTTTGTACCTTTTAGTTTTTGTACATTCCAGGTAATAACCAGGTTTTTAAGCCGTTTTAAACACATAAACCTTCTTTTCATCTGGTTGAATACCTTAGCAGGGTTGTAATAAGTCAATAATACATATGGGTGTGTCCTCCTGATGTCAGTTGGCCATAGGCGACACTGATGTGCTCTCAGCGTGTGGGTCGGAGTGGGGAACCCGCCGCGGGTAAAGGCTCACTTATAACCCGCCGTGGGTAAAGCCACACTTATCCATCAGCATGACAGAGACCACTGCTTTAATCCGTTCAGTACAATCATCCTTCCCAGACCTGTTTCAACTCCAAAATTAATTTCCTGAAATGGTGGTGATTATAGCCTTATCTACTCCTTTTCATTTTACTCCGTTTCTCAACCCTCCCCGTTGGACTCCTCAGCTTCCCATAACACCTGTACTGATGGGTACTCAGATACCACAGGTAGGAAAAAAAAAAAGCTTAACAAACGATCCAGGAGGAAAACCAGACCGGCGGTGATTTGCTTGGGGAGCACCACCGTGTCGAATGCTGAATCGACCTTGCTGTCTTGGGGAGGCAGGATCATAATGCGGTCCTGACCATGCATCACCACGTTCCTGAATATGCGGTCCCTATATCCTGTCGTTTTATCACCACATATCAATAGCTGAAGCTGCGTCTCCACCACAAGACTCAGGGGTTGGGAACCACAATCGCATTTCTTTCATGAATCATTCATACATTACCAGAACACCCCAAAACATCCTCCGCTCATCCCTCATTCTTAATGGGGATGAATAGTTATTATTAATCACATTATTATGCACACATAAATCATCCCGGTGTTGTTAATCATCAATGAGCACAGAGCCGTCATTGCTAACTTTAGCTTATTTACACTGAAATGCCTTTGGTCCGCTCCACGCTGCACGTTACCCACTTGTGCTTCTGAGGCTGATTGTCCCCTTTAGCAGCTACAGAAATAAACTTGGGGACATGGTCGGCTGATAGGGCTAGTGGTGTTGGTGGGGGTGGGGCGTAGCCTGGCTCAGAAGCGAGGCGAAAGTCCGGTAAACCTTATTAGCTCCCAGGAGAGCGCAATCAGAGGACGCGGGGGCTGCAATCAGAACACCAGCGGTGCTCAGTTAGGTGGACCTTGACGTTCCCCAGCACAGGCACACCCCCCCCTCCCCGAAACACATACACACACAACCAGTACCCTGTCTCCTGTTTGCTCTCTCATCTCCATTCTGCCATGGGGGAACCTCCGTGCTCATGTCGCACTGTCAGCGTGTGCTGTCCGTACACCTGTCTGGGGGGTGTAGCCAGGCCTGTCACACACTGAGGAGATCCACTGCCATGCTCGGGTCAGCTTCATTCCCAAAGGCAATTTCCATCGTCCTTGATTGACTCAACAGGCAGCACTAATGTATTAGCCTCCCCCAAGCTGAGAACCAAAAAACTGGGTTACAAAACGGTGAAAGACACATTCACCTCTTCTCAAAGCAGAGGTGTGGATGGCTTGGAAAGGTAGGGTCCTGTCTTTAGATGGGAGAAAAGGCATACGGGGGCTTAATTGGCCATAAAAAACAGATAGCTGTATGGTAAAGCACTGGGAGTTGGCTTAAAGTTCACAGCAACATTACAAGGCCCACCCCTCCAGGTCGAGAGTAAACAGGGGTCTGGGTCCTGCTTTCAGCTATCCACCAGTGTCTGATCTGGGAACTCGCATTCCAACATGGCCAGTTTGATCTCCCATGTGGGGCGTCTGTGGTTTTAGTCTTGGGAGCCCCCCGCAGTGGTTTTCACGCCCAGTCGAGGTGCTTCTTCTTCTGGGGGTCAGGGGACCTCCTAGGCAAGCAGAGCGAGCAAGGGGCAGGATGGGGAGGGTGGATGTGTGCGAGTGGACAGGAAGAATAGCAGAGGGAATGAAAAGCACTTTATCTGAGGAGGACATTAGCCAGAGAGTGATGAAGGGGGTAGCGAAGAGCTATCAGAGTTGATGGGGAAAGAGATTACAATTTGGTCAGCACTAGTACATAATGGAGAGTCTCTGATATGTAATCAGTTTCTCATTCAAGAAGCAAATGAACCCAAACCCCATTCTTGTCAGATATTAATGCCATTATCAAACATTTAGAGTTCATTAAAGGGCCTTTATTGGATTCATTAAATCGGAATAAAAATAAGGGTGCGTGTTACGACTCCTCTCCTCCCCCCATCTGCATCGTAATTACGCCGGACCCACGGCTTCAATTATCGGTCGAGTCGCTTCAGTGTCGCCGTCCATATAGGGAGGCGCTCTGGCGTCAGTGTGGAGGTGAACACCGTAGTGGGTTTGCCCGAGAACTCCGGGTCTGTCATTATGGGTAAGAAATGATGGCACTCTCCATGGAGCCATCGTTTTGTTTTATTTCGAGTCTCTGGGGAGCTGTGTTTGATGAGGGAGTCTGAGCCGTATTCCACTCGATCATCCTCGAAGCTGATGCATCTGTAGAACAGTCTTTCTGTTGCTTAAAACAGAGGTGATCGCCCAAATCCAGTATGTAAATCACAGTACTATATTTGATTACTTGTTCTTTTATTTTAGTTGCTTAAAACCTGACCTCCTATGCAGCCTAACCTATAACCCTTGGTTAGTCCAATCCATAAGCCTTGGGCTGATCTAACCTATAAGCCTCAGGTAGTTCAACCCATGAGTATTAGTTCAACCCTTAAATACTACACTGTCCTTGTTCAGATAAACAGATGTACGAGGTGGTTCATAGCAGTGCCATAATGTTCATGCAGAAACGATTGTCTATGCTGTGGAATTAACGTCCCGTCTCTGTTTCCCTTCCCAGCAAACCCAACGGGTTCTGGTGGCGGGGGTTACCCGGGTCCCTCGGAGGTGATCCGCGAGTCCAGCAGCACCACGGGAATGGTGGTGGGCATTGTGGCGGCCGCGGCCCTCTGCATCCTCATCCTCCTCTACGCCATGTACAAGTACCGCAACCGTGACGAGGGCTCCTACCACGTGGACGAGAGCCGCAATTACATCAGCAACTCGGCGCAGTCCAACGGCACCGTCGTCAAGGAGAAGCCGGCCAACAGCGCCAAGAGCTCCAACAAGAACAAGAAAAACAAAGACAAGGAATACTATGTGTGATCCTGCACGTTTGAGCCATTGCCGGTCCTGGAACTCAATTCAAGAGGCGATGAGAAGACCCACATATGTATATTAACAAAACTCGAATGAGAGAAAAAAAAACATTTAGTCTTCATTTTATCAAAGACGTGACATAAAGAAAAACAAAAAAAAAAAACATATCTGACTTTGTACTCAAGCACATTAAACTATGAGGTGAGGCAGATGAATCTCCCTGCCGAAAAACGCTGTAACGACTGACAAAAAGGCGAACGAGGGAGGACGATGGAACATGACATAACATAATGGCTCCAAAGCAGACGTGGTACCCGTGTGCTCGACAAGCAGGATGCTGACATCTCACTCTCTCCTTTCTTGGAAACATTTCAGAGGGGCTATTCACGGGGGGAGTTAAACAGTGTCACAAACTGTCAGTGTTTTCCATTTACGTTGCCTGTGTTTGTGTTGCTGGGACGTTTTCTACAATTGCGAGAAAAAAAATGTAAAACATTTTAAAAACAACGCCTAAATAAGCAAAATGACAACAATCGCCAAACATGGGGAGGAGCGAGCAGAGAGACTTTGCAGGGAGGAAGTCACACGGTCAAGCTACCTACGTCTGGGGGAATCGGCCAAAGTATTCGCACTTTCAGGAACGAAAAACAGCCGCGGCATCGACTGCGCCTGACTGTTCTGGGGTGGGGTGGTCAGCATAGAAAGCAGACAGGAAACACTTCTCAGTGACTACAGGAAGAGACTGACTTGAAAGAGTAAGTGATGTTGATGTGGTAATAAGGCCTTCATTCCAAGCCCGGTTTGACACAAGGCTGGTGCATTTTGTGGGTGGGGGGAGGGGAAAGGGGGGTTTCTGAAAAGCAACAGATTTGCAAAACTCCATGCACGTAAAGTATCTTATAACATATGTTTATATCCAGTACAAACACACCTATATGTGCTTTCTGGACTGTGACAAGTGGTGTTTTATAGCCTGTTGTATAGATGATGCAAACTATATCTGCTCTTCAACCATTTTTAGTAAAAAAAAAAAAAAAAGAGAAAAGAAAAAAAAGAGAATTAAATGTTATTAAGTGTTGCTAGATATAGATTTTATGATGACATCTGCAATTAAAATTTCTGTTGCGTTGCTTATTTTGCCCTCTTTTAAACATGTATCCCTCCTTAATTTTAATCTTTTAACACCATTGACACCCATGATCCATTTGCTGTCCCAGCAGCAGCCTGACTTGTCGAAGAAAATTGCTGAGCTATGGCAGGTGGCAGGATGTGACATACAGGATGTGATGTATGACCAAGTTATGTATGACTAAGTGTCCCCCTCTTGATTCTCCTCTTAATACCAAATTACCCTTATGCCCTAGGTGGGAGTGGAGATGTTGCATAAACAATGTTATTTCTGTATCTACCCGGATCCCAGTGATTGGATTGATGAAACCTAGAAGCAATCCCTTTGAAATGGGAGAAGTGACCATTTCAATATTTCTGTATTTGTACTGTCATGCTGTTAATCTGTTTCTGACCTGTAATCCGATTCATTGAGGGGAAAAGTAATCCAACCTAAGCTACTGACAATTACAATTGTTTTTTATTATTATTACTTATAATTATTATTCTACCCGTGCTATTTTTTTCTACAGTATTTTTTGTTTATTGTGACAATTCTTTATTGACCTCAAAGTAAAATTTATTATGAAAAAATAGTTTTGAAAAATTAAATGAATAAATAAAATATTAACTAAGTGAATATAAGTCTATGATGAAATTATTACAAAATGGTGTTAAGGAAAATGCATGTCTGGAGGAGAAAACCATCAGCGATCTCATGGTAATTATACGGCTCTATAATTATTGCTATTGAATTATTTTATTATTTTGCTTATTTATGCATTTTATATACATATATCTAATAAGAATGTCCATATCATTGAGAACTGAATCATATTGCTGGTGTGGAACAAAGAAATCCCTTTTTTCTCTTGTAAACTCGCTACTTAATTTGCCTAAATGGTCTCTCTGTCCTTTCTGCATGTCAGCCGTTTTAGGCTTAACCCTTTATAAATACTGCAATCTGGAAATTAAATTAGAAAAATCAGAGTCAGAGAGAGGCAGCCAACTCATGGAGACCTGCCCTCATCCCTTTCATCCGCATGCGATTCTTTGTGGCTCATCTTCTGCGGCAGCTAAGCATCGCCATGATTTCTTGGAAAGCGGAATAAAAATGCATCGGAGCAGAGGAGTCAGCTCCGCTCCGGTGCCTCCCAGGAGGGATAGAGATGTAGCGGCCGGCTGAGGCAAGGAGGAATTCCAAATGAGCCCAGAACAGCGTGAGCAGCAGGGGGGCAACGGCAGGGGGGGTTGGGGTTTGTAACACCCATGCAGGCGCGCACGCAGGTGTGCACTTTTATTTGCATTTCCGCCTTTGTGGGGATGACGGCGTTTGATCTCAAGCCAACAGCAGATTAACAACTGGCAGCGACCAAAAACACTGCTTGTTTCTTTAAAGATGAAATACTAAGGAATAAATACATTTGTTCCAAAATTTCTTCCCAAAAAGAGAAGCCAGACCAGAACACCGGTTTCTGAAAAGCCTATGCAGGAACCTATGATGATGTTTAACCTCATGCAGAGACAGCGCCCCCCCTCCTCCCCAGTGAGGGTGCTGAGGTACTGACGTGAGTGAGTCAAGCCTGTCTGTGTGCCTTGTCTTATCCCCATCATGACGGATAATGGGTGACTGGAGAAGATCTACATCAACATGCTGCACACGCCTGTCTGTTTACCTCCACCAGCAAGCAGCGTCTGTTCCCTGGGCATGGCGGAGACACAAACGTCCAAAAGTCTTGGCTGGTGGATTCTGGCTGATTTCCCGCTTACTCCGACAAAACCCGTCAATGCGTTCAGGCCGGCGCACATATTACCCAGCGTGTGAGCTCCTGATACCGGCCCTGGCTTGTCGTTCAGACCCCGAGAGATTACATCTAATAAAACGAAATGTAGCGCTGCCCACTCCATGTGCTGAAAGGAGAGTCTAATGCGAGCAGAAAATGATGAACTGTCCAAATGGCAGCCTTCTGAAACCCAGACCGTGCCGTTTCGGTCTGCGCTGCGAGCCGTGGGGTGGCTGAGCCGCCGTTTACCATCCATTAGGCAGAAATAGCTTGTCTTTCATTATATTATCGAAGGCTAAATGAACGGAGCATCTGCCTTACTGGCTTAAATTATGAATAAAATAACGATAAAGTAAAACAAATGAATGAGCCAGTGAAAACAGACAGGCAGAATGGATGACTGGCAGCTTATGTGGCTCATAATTGCTTTTTTAAAAAGCGTCTCACACAAACACATATTTTGTTTCTTATTACCCTCACAGGATTAAAATTGTAAGACCAGAGCTGTCAGTATTATACTAGAGACATGGAGCCAAACTCTATTTAAAGCTTTTAATAGACACCCCCCCCACCTCTTTGTATCTATCACTCTGACTATCTGAACTAGATGTATCAGCAGCAGCCCCCCCACCGTCGGCTTGTCATGGCTCACGCTGATAGACATCAGCGCCACCGCAGAGATTGCAGAGCAGATTGGCGGAGGCGTCGAGCCAGAGACGAAGGATCTGGGATCTGGACCCTGAACCAGTTACATGCAGTGTACAATGTGATCTTAACTCGCTGCTTTGTCACAAACGAGTGACACTGTCTGCTTCTGAGCGGTTACGGTATTTTTGAAACACTGTGCTTGAGTTTCTCTTTTTTTGTTGTTGTTGCGCGGTTGCTGTTTCAAACCGTTCCCCTCGTGCTCGATCCAGGGCAGATCAGTGGCTCTCTGAGGATTTCCACACCTTGTCTGTCTTTTTAAAACTCTCTCTTCACCCTCCTTTCCCCAGTCCCACCCCAGATTTGCACATGACTCCTAACTAAAATGCTTCTTTCACAAATATTACCCATTGCGCTGCAGTTAGACCACATGTTCGCCAGAGCTTCATTCTGTCCCCCTACGCTACACCTGCCGAAGCAGGAGGGGGCCGAGTCGTTGTTGCGAGTGGATTCACTTACTGTACCGAGTGCCTCTAGATAAGAGCAACTGCTCCCAGAGGCTGGGAGGTGAACTGCGCTCTGACTAAAGCCGCCCCCTATGGAGAAGGAGGGCTTCAGGCCATAATTCGAAAAACACCTGGAAACAGTGAAACCCAGGCTAATTTACAACCCCCACTTCCCCAGAGACCACCTCAGAGGCAGAGAGGCCAGTTCACTGGCTTGAAGAAGATGCTCAAGCAGGATTTTTTTTATATAGATGCAAAAATGGCAGAAAGAGAAAACTGATGTAAAAAATGGAAGTCTGATAAAGCAGAATATTAAAATTACAGTTTACCCACCCCCACACACACGTACACACAAACAAACAAACACCTTGTAACCTATTAACTGGCCCTCAAGCCAAACCTAAATCATCTTCCCCCAAAAGTGTTACGCCTGAGTGGGCATTCGCCAAGGATGCAGTAACCTGTGCAGCACAAGGTCCAAGGGTGGGACATAGGGATCTGGGCAGTGCGGTCTAAACTGGCGAAATGGGGTCATGGCCCCTTTAAATGGCAACCTACTAATCATTGAATAAGTCCCTCAACCTATTTATTTAATACAAACTTTATATAATAAAAAACCTGCCAACCTCCTTCCCACATGCACCCAGCTGACCCTAATTAAAACCTATTAGTGCAATCAGGGCCAGCTGTGTTTTATTAGCATGTAGGAACCAGGTGATCTTTTGCCATGGAAACATAAGTGCCCCCCCCCCCCCACACACACACACACACACACATACACACACACACACAGCTGACATCGTTCCACATTTGGGCGAAGAGTTTTCCACTCCTTCAAGTCACGTGCCTCCAAGGCCTACGAATAGCTAAACCCAACTTCAAGGTCCTTTGAGAACCCCTTCACGATTGGCTTTAAACCCGCCCATTTACTCGAAGACTCCGCAGTGGATATTTCCATCAGGATCCTCGTGTACTCCGCATAGCCTAGCAACTGTGCCATAGCAACCGCAGGTGCTGCTGGACCCCGTCGGCCCACAGAGTAGCATTTGGTTTCTTCACCAGCCTGGTGGGGGCGCCAATGTGTCCTTCAGCACAGTGATCACCTGTTCCCCCACATCAAGTTCATTTCCTCTGTGTCACCACTATCAGTTACAGCCAGCAGGAGGACTGGGGGTCGT